TGTCTGAACCATTAAGTACAATCATCCCACTAACATATGTAGTTACTTGAATGTTTCGTTGATACTACTTTTTAGAGTAAAAAATTATTTTGGGTGTTTTTTTAATTATCTTAATTAAGAAAAAATTATTATTTTTAAGTATAGGTTTCTTTGTTGTATTTTTTTTCATTAAACTTATTTATTTTGATCATAACAAATAGACTGCGATTACCTGCCATGAGAAAATTATAGAGTTAATTTATTCTTTTTTAAAAAAACCAAACAAATTTAAAGCGTAAAAAAATCGCTTAAAAATTTTGTCTCTTATAATTCAGCACACGTTCCTCCGTCCCCATACTCTAAATAACAAAAGGGGGCGTTGAAATGTTTTTTGCTCCTTAAGGGGGCGGCAACGTTAAAAAGGTTGAGAACCTATGATTTAAATGAACGTACTAAAAAAAATTGCAATTTTAGAAACTATGTGGAAATGCGTTGCAATCACTTTAAAAAAAAACAATCAAAAAGTCATTGACTATATAATTAAATTGACAAACATGAAGAGTGTCAAAAGTGGGAATTGAAATTTTAAATTCACGTATCATAATAATATTGTATTAAAAAGATTGGGATTCTTAAAACTATGCGTACATTTGTAATATGAACCATAAAAAAGATTATTGAAAAACTACATTGGTAAAGAGTGGATGTGTCAACTTAAATGCGCAATTTCAAATTTCCGAATTTTTCAAAAAAGAAAAATTATTATTTTTTATTTTGTTCGGATGCTACAGGGGGCCGCACATCTAAAGTAAGAGAACCACAGGTTTATCACCCCAACTTACAGGATTTTATTTCATTAGTATGTAAAAAGCTTTTTACCACTCGCTATAATCATACAGTTTAGAAAATAATGTATTTTGCACTGAGCACTTTAAATGTATTTAAAGTGCTGAGCACTTTATTTGCTATTGTAGTATTGCAATTTTCATCCAAAACACTACTAGACTGAAAATCGAATATGAGTATTTATTGACAATTATTTAAATAGAATTATTCTTCCTTGTAGTTAGAAAGGTAAAATACAACCAAAATAAAATAGACTAAGCCTTCTCCAACAAAATTGCCATTCAAATAGGTCATCCAAATGTTAATATACTTATAATCAATCTTATTAAAAACAATCTAGTTTATTTACTTATATACATAAACAACAAAGATAAGTATAAACTGCATAAAATAAATCTTGCTTACTTCTTAGTCAGAGTTGCAGTTTGTTTACCCCCGTATTGCTAGAATAAAAGTACATTAGTTTTATCAACTATAAAATGCCTTTATTAAAAAATTTTAAGAAAGCATTCTATACTCATAAAAAGAGTAAACAAATAATTATAAATAACAGAAAGAAAAACCCTTTTTAACAAAGGAGAAATAACTAATACAGTGCCTGCCGTTTATTAAAATCGCTTTCGTTTTATGCTCTTTTGATTTTATTAAGCAGCTGATTTTATTAAGAGGCGATTCAACATTTGAAGAAAAAAAATCAAATATTTACGATATATTCTAAATGCACACACTTTAAAAGCTGAAATAATGACAACATTAATGCTTTATTTTAACTAATTTAATCATTTTAATAAAGTAAAATCCTACATAAGATTAAATTTACAAAATTTTTGCAAAAAACCAATCAATGGTCGCTTGAGTTGCAGTATTTAAAATTAACTTTTCAACATCATTTGAGAGTTTATAGAAGTTTTTATAGTTTTCGATATTTCCTCCTCTTTATTCTAAAGCTTGCTGCAATACATTAAGTACTTTTCTGACTTCCATTGAAGATGGCACTGATGAGTTTATTTCATCTTCTGAGTCTGATTCCTCCATTTCTTGATTGGAAATAACTTTGCAATTTTTGATGTCTGAATGTTTGTCTGATGTTTGAATTTTTGAACAATTTCAGAATCAGATTTTTCTCCTGCAGGTTATCGTTAATAGCTACGTAACGTGAAAAATTCTTGTCCATTTCATTTTCTTCATTGCTGAGCATTTCTTCAAAACAGTTATCAGCACTATCGCCAGTGCTTAATCCACACTTTTTAAAGCAATTTGATATTGTTTGGGTTGAAACAATGTCCCATGAGTTACAAATCAAATGCATTGATTCCAAAATAGTAAGGGATTTCGATAGTTTGTTTGCAGTTAAGAGTTCCGAAGAGCTGTCACAGTCTATGTCACTAATGATTTTTTGAACAACCATTTTTCTGTAATGAAACTTGAATGATCTTACGATTCCCTGATCAAGGGGTTGAATAATAGCTGTAGTGTTGGGTGGCAAAAACACTAATTTAATGTTTTTCAAACGCAAGACCTCATCAGCAGAATGCGCAGAACAATTATCTAAAAGTAAGACGACCTTTTCATTTTTTGGCTCCTTGTCCCATTTGAGAAGAAATTTTTTTAAAGATGCTGGATGTCATCCATGTGTTATAGCTGTTGGCATAACTGGTGGGCAGGTGTTTTACTCCTTTAAAACATCGAGGTTTTAAACTCTTTCCTATCACTAAAGGTTTTTTTTCACAGTTCCTGTCATGTTGCATGTAAGCAGCACGGTTAGTCTTTCCTTTATTTTTTTACATCCACCAGTCGATTCATTTTTAAACAGCAGTGGGTGTTCAGGAAGTGCTCGGAAAAATAATCCTGTTTCATCTCTGTTGACAATTTGCTCTGGTTTATATTCTTTGATGAGTGTTGGCCACAAGTCATTTACCCAATCGGCGGCAGGGCTAAAATCAACAGCTTGCTTTTCACCATGCAATTTACAATAGACAATGTTGTTGCGGTCTTTCCATCGGGTTAGTCACCCATCTGTAGCTTTAAAATCAGAATAACCAAATAAGTTAGCAAAGTTCAGCGCTTTGTGAAATAAAATTCCACGGGAAATTGGAATTCTTCGTTCGCGTGCATTTTTGAACCATTCTAACAGAGCCATTTCAATTTCCTCCGACTTTCCCTCACGTTTACGCTTTCTTGACAGATTTCCATTCTTTTTAATTTCCTCGGAAATATTTATCCTTTGTTTCAGAATGAAAAAAGCAGTTTGGGAAATCCCTAATTTAATTGAAGCTTCATGTTGACTACATTTAGGAAGCTTATCATAGTTTTGCAACACTTCGAATTCATCTTTAACACTCAAATCCTTCCTTTTCGGCATGCTGATAAAATTTAATATCAAACAAACTTAATGATATGGGCTCTAACTATAATTTACTCAAACGGCTTAAATAATATGGAACATGAGCACAGACAGTTTTCGGAAATCTATTCATGTTCTCTGTTAAGATGGATAACAAAAGAAACTTCTCTCCCTTCTATGGTTCATTCAAAAAAAGTAAGATAAGAATTCGACCCCTTGTTGAGTGAGATAGGTTTCTCCAAACTTCATTCAAGTCAAGGAATAGACATCGATAAATTGATTTCTATGAACTCGCTGCTTACCACCCACATTTTCCCTTAACTCTGACACTATGTATATCGCAGGAAAGTACTAACCACACCTGTTTCACAGGTTTGTGAGTAACTGTTGCTTCTTCTAAAAAAATCTTTAAGCTTCGAAAAAATAAAATTTTATAAATAAGAACAAAAAAAGCTGAAATATTACACTTTTGATTTATTATGTAGTCAAAATTTTTATTTTAAAAAGCGGCGGCATTTATTAAAAGATGTTTCTAACTTGTATTAATATTATAACGATTCGGTTCTTGACAATTTTATAAAGCGGCTGATTTTATTATCCGGTGATTTTATTAGCGGCGGGCACTGTACCCTTAATACTTTTTTACAAAACATCTGCATGTTAGGTAAAATTATTGTCTTTAATCATTTTGTTTCAGCACAGATTATAAATAAAAATATTTGACCACAGTGTATTGAAAATTAAAATGCAAAAGTTACCTACCAATAATATTTTAAATGCATGTGTTTTAAACTCAATAAATGCGTGTAGAATGCTTGAACTCTGAGAATAATTTTGAAACAAATGAAAAAAGAACAGTTGAACAATTTTGAAATTAAATGATACTTCAAACAAATATTTTACAAATAATTATCTCAAATTGAATAATAATTGAAAAGGGTGTAGAAATAAGTAACTATCATTGATCTATATGATATATTAGTCTTAGAACTACATTTAATCAGGAAGCAAACAAACAAAGAAAAAGTTATATTTAATAAAAACACTAATTACAGTTAGTAAATTAAAATGACAGTGAATATTAGTTTCAAAATTCAATACATTACAAAACAAAGAATTAAATATTAACATATTGTAAGAAGTTATTTCAAAAAAAAAGGGGGGGGAAGAGAAGGAAAAAAGATATTTAATAAATAAAATTTCAAAACAATTTTATAAAAAGGAATCAGTTAACTATAAAATATATACAATGATGAGAATAAGAGCAACCAATAATTGAATTTTTTAAGTTTTATCAAATTAGAAGTGATACTTTTTAACACAAAAAAGGAAAGATGAATCAAAAAAGGAAAAGATGAAATGAGCAAGATAAATGTAGAATTTGTAGTGAAATTTTTAAGAAGAGCTGAATTAGAAGGATTATTATTTAGAAGGATTTTTAGAATTAGAAATTACAGGGAAATTATTCATGTAGAGCTGATGTTTTTTAGGGGGATTCTTAGTATTGTATAAGATAGTAGTGAATTACTTAAACAAGGTTCCCACTGCTTGGAAAATTTTCTAAATTACAGTGGAAAGTCACGTATCCGGAATTGGCGGAACTTCCCGAAGTCCGTATATTTGATTTTTCCGTATAATTGACCTCCAAGGTAAACAAAGCTTAAAATGATCTGAATCTAAGAAGCAGAAAATAAATAAACATTATTTTTCGGGCAATAATGTTTTAGCATTAGAATGATATCTAATCAATCATAAACAAAATATTAGAAAAAAAAATAATTATTGCTATTTTAAAAATAAATATAGAAAACGAAAAAAATTACNTCTGACTTCCATTGAAGATGGCACTGATGAGTTTATTTCATCTTCTGAGTCTGATTCCTCCATTTCTTGATTGGAAATAACTTTGCAATTTTTGATGTCTGTGACAATTTCAGAATCAGATTTTTCTCCTGCAGGTTATCGCAGGTTTGCAGGTTATCGTTAATAGCTACGTAACATGAAAAATTCTTGTCCATTTCATTTTCTTCATTGCTGAGCATTTCTTCGAAACAGTTATCAGCTCCATCGCCAGTGCTTAATCCACACTTTTTAAAGCAATTTGATATTGTTTGGGTTGAAACAATGTCCCATGAGTTACAAATCAAATGCATTGATTCCAAAATAGTAAGGGATTTCGATAGTTTGCTTGCAGTTAAGAGTTCCGAAGAGCTGTCACAGTCTATGTCACTAATGATATTTTGAACAACCATTTTTCTGTAATGAAACTTGAATGATCTTATGATTCCCTGATCAAGGGGTTGAATAATAGCTGTAGTGTTGGGTGGCAAAAACACTAATTTAATGTTTTTCAAACGCAAGACCTCATCAGCAGGATGCACAGAACAATTGTCTAAAAGTAAGACGACCTTTTCATTTTTTGGCTCCTTGTCCCATTCGAGAAGAAATTTTGTGAAGATGCTGGATGTCATCCATGCGTTATAGCTGTTGGCATAACTGGTGGGCAGGTGTTTTACTCTTTTAAAACATCAAGGTTTTAAACTCTTTTCTATCACTAAAGGTTTTTTTTCACAGTTCCTGTCATGTTGCATGTTAGCAGCACGGTTAGTCTTTCCTTTATTTTTTTACATCCACCAGTCAATTCATTTTTAAACAGCAGTGGATGTTCAGGAAGTGCTCGGAAAAATAATCCTGTTTCATCTCTGTTGAAAATTTGCTCTGGTTTATAGTCTTTGATGAGTGTTGGCCACAAGTCATTTACCCAATCGGCGGCAGAGCTAAAATCAACAGCTTGCTTTTCACCATGCAATTTATAATAGACAATGTTGTTGCGGTCTTTCCATCGGGTTAGCCACCCATTTGTAGCTTTAAAATCAGAATCACCAAATAAGTTAGCAAAGTCCTGTGCTTTGTGAAATAAAATTCCACTCGAAATTGGAATTCTTCATTCGCGTGCATTTTTGAACCATTCTAACAGAGCCATTTCAATTTCCTACGATTTTCCATTACGTTTATGCTTTCTTGACAGATTTCCATTCTTTTTAATTTCCTCGGAAATATTTATCCTTTGTTTCAGAATGAAAAGAGCAGTTTGGGAAATCCCTAATTTAATTGAAGCTTCATGTTGACTACATTTAGGAAGCTTATCATAGTTTTGCAACACTTCGAATTTATCTTTAACACTCAAATCCTTCCTTTTCGGCATGCTGATACAACAGTTTCGGCATGCTGATAAAAATATCAAACAAACTTAAAAATGATATGGGCTCTAACTATAATTTACTCAAACGGCTTAAATAATATGGAACATGTGCACAGACAGTTTTTGGAAATCTATTCATGTTCTCTGTTAAGATAGATAACAAAAGAAACTTCTCTCCCTTCTATGGTTCATTCAATAAAAAGTAAGATAAGAATTCGACCCCCTGTTGAGTGAGATAGGTTTCTCCAAACTTCATTCAAGTCAAGGAATTAACATTGATAAATTGATTTCTATGAACTCGCCGCTTACCACCCACATTTTTCCTTAACTCTTACACTATGTATATCGCAGGAAAGTGCTAACCACACCTGTTTCACAGGTTTGTGAGTAACTGTTGCTTCTTCTAAAAAAATCTTTAAACTTCGAAAAAATAAAATTTTATAAATAAGAACAAAAAAAGCTGAAATATTGCACCTTTGATTTATTATGTAGTCAAAATTTTGATTTTAAAAAGCGACGGCATTGATTTTATTAAAAGATGTTTCTAACTTGCATTAATATTATAATGATTCGGTTCTTGCCGATTTGATTTTATAAAGAGGCTGATTTTATTATCCGGTGATTTTATTAGCAGCGGGCATTGTACCCTTAATACTTTTTTACAAAAAATCTGCATGTTAAGTAAAATTATTGTCTTTAATCATTTTGTTTTAGCACAGATTATAAATAAAAATATTTGACCACAGTGTATTGAAAATTAAAATGCAAAAGTTACGGACCAATAATATTTTAAATGCATGCGTTTTAAACTCAATAAATGCATGTAGAATGCTTGAACTCTGAGAATAATTTTGAAACAAATGAAAAAAGAACAGTTGAACAATTTTGAAATTAAATGATACTTCAAACAAATATTTTACAAATAATTATCTCAAATTGAATAATAATTGAAAAAGGTATAGAAATAAGTAACTATCATTGATCTATATGATATATTAGTCTTAGAACTACATTTAATCAGGAAGCAAACAAGCAAAGAAAAAGTTATATTTAATAAAAACACTAATTGCAGTTAGTAAATTAAAAAGTCCCAAAATTCAATACATTACGAAACTAAGAATTAAATATTAACATATTGTAAGAAGTTATTTCAAAAAAAAGGGAGGGAAAGAGAAGGAAAAAAGATATTTAATAAATAAAATTTCAAAACAATTTTATAAAAAGGAATCAGTTAACTATAAAATATATACAATGATGAGAATAAGAGCAACCAATAATTGAATTTTTTAAGTTTTATCAAATTAGAAGTGATACTTTTTAACACAAAAAAGGAAAGATGAATCAAAAAAGGAAAAGATGAAATGAGCAAGATAAATGTAGAATTTGTAGTGAAATTTTTAAGAAGAGCTGAATTAGAAGGATTATTATTTAGAAGGATTTTTAGAATTAGAATTTACAGGGAAATTATTTATGTAGAGCTGATGTTTTTTAGGGGGATTCTTAGTCCTGTATAAGATAGTAGTGAATTACTTAAACAAGGTTCCCACTGCCTGGAAATTTTTTTAAATTAGTAGTAAAAATGAGATATATCTAGATATTTTATGCTAGAAGTGCACAACCTGCAGCCTGTCAACTACTGAAGTGCGGTTCACCTGCGCTTCTAAACACAGTAAAAATAAACAAAAATTTTAAAAAACGGAAAAAAATTTTTAATTGCACTTTTGAGTCATGCCGTTTTGACACGCTTAATTTTTACAGATTCTATCAGAGCGTGCTTTCTAGAAACCGATTTTATTGTAAATCTGAATGATTTTATAAACATTTATTTCTGCTTTTCAACGTGATTTCAAAAATCATGAATTTTTGTTACACTATTATTACGACACATGGGTTTCAGATCGCCCATTGAAATAATCACTTTTTGTTGCACTTTATTTGTGCCGATTTCATCATAAATCTAAGTGATTTTTTATGGGTTTTTTTGCAATTATTTCTTTCTTTTTTTCAACCATTTTTTGGCAGCATTTCCCCCTATGCATTTCCTCGTAGTAAAAAAAAACGATAATTTTATATAAGCACGCGACTTTTAAATCGAGCATTTGACATGCTTTATTCGTGCTGGGTTCAGCATAAGTGATTTTGTTTTTCAATTGTTGCACTACTTTTTCAATTATTGCTATACTTTGGCCAAATACTATTTGAGGCCAAATAGCAGCATTTTTTAGCAACATAGCAACACTGAAACCAAAATAATTAAAATTTATCTTAATTCTTGAAAGAAACTTTTAAAGCTGAATATCTCAGTTTTCTAATTACCATATATTCAAGAAAAAGTTAAGAAATAAGAATTAAGTCGAACAGAAATGATCTTAAAAATTGACGCAGAATAATAAAAACGTCTATAAAAAGAGATTTTTTTTTTAAAAAATCAAACGAAAAAGCTAGAGAGAAACAAAAACAAGAAACATTTTTTATTTTTTTAAATGAAAATCTAATGATGAAAATCTCAATTTAACTTTTTCACATTGCCATATTTTTTAAAAGAAAAAAAATTGCTATAAAATAAAGTTTGCTAGAAATATTAATTAAAAAAATGCTTCATCATTATTAAAATGCCTATAAAAACAAAAGTTAATTAAGAAAAACAAAAGAAAAACGAACAAAAAATTATTCTTAGTTCCTAAAACAAAACTTGACACTGAAAATCACAGTTTACCATGTTACCGGTTATCTATATTACCGTACAGGGAAAAAGTGACAATAAATTAATAGTATGATAAATTAATAGTAAGCAGCATTTTAATGTTCCATTAAAATGCTGCTTTATAAAAGAAACAGCAAAAATGAAAATAAAATACTTCTCAGTTCTTAGAGCTAAAAGTACGGAAAAAATGACGAAATTGACTTGTCTGAATACACATGTTTTTTTAAAAAAAAGTAGAAATACAAAAACTTGTGGTTCAGTATAAAGTAATCTAGTTTCAATTCTTCAAAGTTCGTTTTTCCATTTGTCTTCCAGAATGTAAATTTGCCAGTCAAGTTCCAAAACATGGATTTTAAAATTTGACAAATTTGTGGATTAACTATTCCTTATAATAAACAATACTATAATATAGTTAAAAATACGACTCATAAATAGTTAAAAATACAACTCATAGTTAAACATACGACTCATAAAAATACGAAAATAATAAATTACTAAATAAAAAAATCTAATAATCAATAAAAAGAAATAATAAAATACAATACCAAATAAATATTGAATTTCACTTTGAACTAAAACAGTTTCGTTCTTATTTTAGGCTTTTGTTTAAACCTTATAAATTTTCTTCAAGTAAAATATTCAATTTGAATTTATATTACTGAATATGTATTAAATTTCTTCCTACTTTTATTGTGTGAGCATTGTAGTTTTTTTATTTTTTTCATTAGAATTTATTTTAAAATGAACTTTTGTATTACGTAATAAAAAAAAACATTTATTTTCTCCAACGTTTATTTATTCATTTATTTTGATGAATCTATTTTTAATGTGATAAAAGTGGAATTATTTTTTAAAAAAATTATTAGTTTTCTCATTTTTTTAATGAATTCTAATATTTAAACGGCTTTAATTTTTTACAAATGTATTGCTAAGTTTATTGACAAAAAGAACACTATGTTTAAATAAATATGATAAAAGAACACTAATGTTTAAATAAATATTACTATATTTGCCATCAACATGTCTAAACACATATGTGGTCCTTTGTTAGTCAACCTGCTGTGCAAGTGGCCCTTTACTCCAAAAGGTTATGCATCCCTATTTCAAGCTATCACAATAAATATTTAATTTAAAAGAAATATATATGGATGCAAAAGATAACTCTGGAATAATTTCATTATTAACAAGTGAAAGATAAATTTAAAAATTTTTCAGTAGTCTTGAATAATCACAACTACCACTCATTTACTTTTTTTTTTTTTGAGATCATGGGAACCCTGTTAAACGTGGGGGAAAGATTAATTTATAGGGAAAAATGATAAATAAAAGAAATTGCTATGGGTAAAGATTTTTGTTCAAGTGGTAAAATGAATAAGGGAAACTTAAGGAATATGAGATAAAAAATGGAAGAATTACCTATTAAAGGAAAGTGATAAAAGCTTGTTATTTTAGATAGATTATTTATTTATAATGTTATTGAGAATTTAATATACACATTGATGACAATATTTTTTTAAGATAAGAAACATGCGGTTTAATGTATTTATTAAGAAAATTCAATGTAATGTTTAATTAGTGCTTATTTGAAATATTTTAAGCTTACAAACAGCATATGTTTA